TAAAAACTTATACAATCTGGAAAATTATTTTAACATAGACAAACCTGCGTTGAAAACTGAAAAAATATGTTATCTAGTGCGTCCAAAACAATTGTAAAAGCATTTATGTTTTCAGCTCTAATCCGAATCTAATATTTACCAATTTGTCTAATAAAAAATATTTAAACAATTTTAATTTACATCTATCCACAACTGGGTCAGTAGTAGGGATGCCAAACGGGAATTCTCGGATTTGAAAGTACCGAAAACCGGGATTTTAAAAAATGAAATCCCGGGGAATTTCGGAATTTTAAAATCCTGAATTTTAAGTATTTTTCCGCTATTTTAGTGTTAAATAAGAGAATTTTAAAAGTTTTTGGACTTAAGATGACTCTACTAACTTACAAGCTGAAATAGCAAATATAAAAAAAGCAAGTAAGAAATTATAGGCGGGCGAGGCCGACCATATAACACCAGTTATGAGAGTAAAATGTGATTTAGTTTTCATAATAAATCATTTAAGTTGATTTATACCTCGCCTCCGATATATTTTAGCAACTTATTGTTAAAAAATTATTTTTCTGAAACTTGCTTGAGGGAAGCCTTCATATGAGTCGATCCTCATAAAATTTGGAGGACGAATTTACGGTTACATAAAATGTATTTATGCTGAATTTCATTGCGGCACTTCTCTTTTTAAGCAAATTGTGGACACTAAATTCTTTTTTAAAGCTGTGCTTCGTATGGGGGCTAGGATTAAAAGAAGCCAGATCATTTCAAAATTCATCAGGGTATTTAAGGACAGCATAAAACAAAAGCACTACTCCGGAGAAACCCATCCCCATCTAAGGTGGTGTATGGTATAAAAAGGGCAATACATAGGCATAGATACTATCGGATATCTAATGGGTGTATTAAAATCTATAATGGAAGTCAATAAGATGGCGAGATGATAATTCCCTTATTTGGGTTAGAGAACACGGGATATAACTAAAAATAATATTGCTAGTACCTTGGCAAAAGCTAGAATTACTATGGCTATAATTGATATAAACCAGTTTTGTAGTATTTCCCTACTGACCATTAAATACCATATATCCGATATTCAGCTCAAGACGGATGGTCTCATGAGTACATAGGTGTAGTACAGGTGCTCTATGTAGCCTCGTATGGATCCTCATTACACATACTATCTAAATATTAGGTTTTAACAAATTGTAAATTTGGAAGCCATTGTAAATTTGGATATCATGGGTATTATTTTATATTTATAAGATATAAGAAGCTTTTGCTCAGAAGTAGGTTTTTATTCTACTATTCAGTACCTGGGATGGAAAGATTTTTATTCTAAGTACTTTGAATTAATTTGGTTTTCTTATCACAAAATGCTTATTGGAAAGTAAACACCTACTAAGTGTATTCATATTGCAATATGAAATAGAAAATGTTATTTTTGTCGGTAAATTATTAAGATTTTTTGAATTTTTTTATATTTTTCGGGAATTAGAAATCCCGAAAATACCGGGATCCCGATATCGAGATTCCGGGATTTATTTAAAAATCCCGAAGTCAATAGTACAAAGAGTATGGACTAAGCAATAATAAGAAAACATTTCTTAATTTAAGAACGAAAATCTGATTTTTTGGATCTCAAAACGATAGTATCTAAAATTTTGCACATATTTCCGCTTTATAAATACAATCAATATATCGTTACCTAAAAAGCAAAAAGGCGTAAAAAAAACACTTTTAAAAATTTTACAAGTGATTCCATATAATGTCGAAACAAATAATAAGTACGCAATAAAATGATAATTTCAAAGCTATATCACGAATATTTGTGTGTCGCCAAGACTTTGTCTATTATGTTGCTTTTTAGGGCTTTAAGACTTGTGGTTGTTATGGCTTTTTGCATTTCAGATAACGATATGTATGTTTGATCTTCAATGACACCTCCAGCCTGCCGACTCGGACAGATCTTTATAAATAAACAAACATAAAAGCGATCGTAAAATATATGTATGTATAATTGTCAATTGAAAAACTATGCCTCTTTATACACTCACTGTTCCCACAATTTGAGCAATTGAATTAAAACAAGCAGTATTTCCGATCAAATATTATAATGTTAGGATTTTAGATTCACTACACTTGAAAACAAATATTAAAATATACTAAATGTATTGCAAATATTTCGATCACCTCTATAGTTTTAATAAACAAAGCAGTAGTATATGTTCAGTGTTCAATTTCTAATCTTTTAAAATTCGAAATTCAGCAATTTAAATAAAACACCTGTTTATTAGTAGCAGCAACCTATTGTGTAAGGTATGAACAGCACAATATGTTATTGTTGCAAGTAAGCAAAATTCCACCTGTTAATGCTGTCAATTGCTACACACATAAAAATAGATAACTTAACATTGATAGAGTAAATAACAACAGCAAGAACACAAAATTATATTCCTTAGTTTTCTATAAGAGTATAAATAAATCTTTATAGATTCAATATTATAAAACGATTTGAATTAAAAAAAAAGTTACAAGATTGAAAAGAGTGTATTCTTTTTGATTTTTTTCAAGTATCCTTAAGAGAGACACTTTTTATAGAAGAAATCTATTTGTGAGAAATACTTTTTCTCCTTAAGTGAGATACTTTATTCTATAGAAAAAGTCTCCTTAAGAGAGACACTTTTTCTATAGCAAAAGTCTCCCTAAAAGAGTCACTTTTACTATAGGAAAACTCTCCTTAAAATTAACAACTTTTCAATAAAAAAATCGCATTAAGCGACTCTTTTATTCTATAGAAAAAGTATCCTTAAGGAAGAGTCTCCTTCATTAAGACACTTTTTCTATAGAAAAAGTCTCGTTAAGAGAGTCAACTTTTCTATAAAAAAAAAGTCTCGTTAAGAGAGTCATTTTTTCTATAGAAAATGTCTCGTTAAGAGAGTAATTTTTTCTATAGAAAAAGTCTCGTTAAAAGAGACAACTTTTCTATAGAAAAAGTCTCCTTAAGAGAGACAACTTTTCTATAGAAAAAGTCTCCTTAAGAGAGAAAACTTTTCTATAGAAAAAGTCTCCTTAAGAGAGACAACTTTTCTATAGAAAAAATCTCCTTAAGAGAGAAAACTTTTCTAGAGAAAACTTTTCTATAGAAAAAGTCTCTTTAAGAGAGACAACTTTTCTATAGAAAAAGTAGTTATAAAAATGGAAACTTATTCTTTTACATCTCTGATCTCAACGCATACAGATATGGTTAAAATGAAGTGTTTGTTTATTTGTTGCAAACAAATGTAACGCATTTCCGTTGGATTTACGATTTTAGACTCTGTGAATATTTTCGTTTGCAACTTCTTAATGACATCTTTGCAACCTCTTTTTGAAAAGCACAAAAAAACTGCACATCGGCACTTCGCATACACAAGTACATACTTCTTTATTTTTTTTATTATTTGTACAAACAAGTAGATATTTAACATTAAATTAAAGATACGTACAACTTGCAACAGACACTACAAGAAATATGTAGTGGATGTGATGTGTCTTTCACTGCACATACGTAAATATTGCTATTGTCATAGTCAAAAGTCGTAGTTGTTTTTTGTTGCTCTTGCTGTTCATGTTTAATGTTGAGTGCGGGAGCAAATATCATTTTAAATCAGTTTTATGCTTTAACTATTTCAATTTTTTCCTATAGACTTCATGATGATGTTGCACAAGTTGAGGCCAACAATACAAATGAACAGCGACATCATGAAGCAGTAGTTGTTGAAAGTATGGTAGGTAGATAGGTAATGGTAGCATATGGCAGTATGTAGTAAAAAAACAAACAACATCAAAAACTATGTTGAAAATGTTGGTGATGCCAATCATTAGAATGTTTATATGCAACAAGAGCAAAAATCTGTTGAAAGCAGTAGCTGCAAGTAGTTATTGTCTGTTCTCCTGTTCTCCACTACATTTCAATTCAGTTTTGTGAAAATTCCTAAGTCACCTTTAAAGTGTGTATTGTACATTTAAATATACATACATATTTGTGTGTATGTATTTAATGTTTCCTCTTCACTTCGAATCATCGGTTAGTTACATTTATATCTATCTGATCAGCAATGACTTTCAAAAAGTGTATTCAAAAGCATTTAATTTTTTTCTCCACTTGCTTCCTACAATTGGTAAGATTTTAAAAAGTTCAAATATTTTCATTGTACTCTCGTAAACACTAGAGTTTCAAAACGTTTAAGTGCCAAAAAAAAGCATGGAAAAAACTTCTACTGAAAAGTTCAACAAGTGTTTTGCGACAGTTTTTGCATTTTCTTTATTATTTTCTTCTCAATAGGGATTTAAATTTAAGATTTTTTAATATAAAGGCTTGGCCAATGTAACTCAAAAAGTTCTCGACCGATCTTATTGAAAATTTGTGCCAGTACTACTATCCATTTGAAAAACATCGCTATAAAAAATTGGATCACATGACATGACATAAAAAATTTTGAGAAAAATGTTCGCTAAATACAAGAAAATGTATGATTTAATAATAATAATATGAAAATATTAGGAATTTCTGTCATATTTATTCCAATATTCAAATCCTTAAGATAAACTAATTTATTACACTGTTCGTATAAAACGCTATTTATCAGTTGTTATTTGTTAATGTAAACAAACGTTTTTCTAAAAAAAAAATACAATCAATAAGAGTTTTTTTGTCTTTAACCAACTAGCAGCTGCTAAAGTTTTCCAACTGGAAACAACATTTCCTTTTTTTTTATTTTATTCATATTTTATATTATAAATAGAACAAAATATATATAATAATATTGTATTAAATTTGTACATTCTATTTTATTCAGCAAGTCTATTTCATCTCTTCCTTTTGATTATTATACAATAAATGTATATTTGTTGTAAATATGTATAACATCATATTTTTATATTATTGTATTGTATTTATTTCTTCTATATACATATTTCTTTTCCGCTTAAAATGTGTTTTTTTTTTTTTTTTTTTTTTTTTGTTACAGGCTAAAAGTGCTTTGTCCAGAACACCTGCTCGCCACAATGATGCCCTCTTCAGTCCTGCCAGTTACTCACCAATGTAAGTATCTGACTATCTGTCCGTTTCTCTATACAAATGTTTCGTATATAAATAAAATAAATATGTACTATTTATTCCATTTAAAAAATGTTGCACATACCCGTGCATAGATGAATAAGAAAGAAAAACTTTAAAAATGGCCTACAGTTAGTAGTACATTAAATCATAAATTTACAATTGATCATAAATATATGAACAGCATAAGTGTACATGTCAGACATTTGTAAAAGTCAGTAATTTAAAATAATCATATCATTAATACTTCGAAATATGTATAGAAAATTTTATTTATTTTCCCAATTGGAGGCTTAAACTCTGACTGTCGGCCATAGCAACAAAAACAGTTAAATTTAGTTTTTCAAACGAAAAAGCTATTTTTAGTGCGAAAAGTAATCTCAGATTTTTTAATGTTTTCGCGTTTAGAGTTTTATTTGGGGAACTGCAGGTAACTTTAGTTTTAGATCACAGGTTTTCAATATTTTCAAGATTGGAGGCTTTTGGGCAAATTACAGGCGACTCTAGTTTTTCATAAAACACATATAATTTTCATGGGAGATAAATGTAATCACGTTATTGAATGTTTTTGCGACTGTAGACTTCTTTAGGGAACCACAGGCAATTTAAGTTTTTATACAAAAATATAGACTTAGTGTAAATTAAAAGTGATCGTGTTCAATGTTTCTGATTTAAATGGAGGTTTAAGTAAGGAAAAGCTGTTTTTATTCCCACCATTATCGGAACGTAACACATTGAAATATAGATCGTAGTCCCAAAAATGTTGATATATTCTGGGTTCTTACTAAATTCTAAGACGATCTAGCCAGTCCGTCTAAAATTAGACAAAAACTAGTTTTATACAAAATTTTATGATCTGCCCATAATTGGTCCGACCCCCATATAAAGAACTCCACAGAAAAAACACTCATAACTGACTCAATAACATAATATAACAATGAAATTCGACATAAACAAGTTTCATAGGAACAAAAATCACTCTACAAAATTTTATGAGGTTCGGTCCATAATTAACCCTATCCCCCATATAAAGATCCATTCAGGAGATAACATCAACGCTCATAACTAGCATAAAAATTATCTTACAGTTATTAAGTAAGACAAAGCTAGTTTTAAAGAAACGAAAATCTCCCTACTAAATGTTATGAAGATCCATCCAAATTTGACCTTATACCTCACATAAGGCACCCTCCACAAAAGCTTAAAAATGAAATAAGACAGAAAAAATTTATAGAAACCATAATATTCTTACCAAATTCAATGAGGATCAGTCCATAATTGACCCTAATCCCCAATAAGGCCCCTTAAGAAAATTATTTTAACGTGCATAACTATATTTATAACACCAATATAGCGACGAAATTCAACATAAACAAGTTTTGTAAGAACGAAAATCTGATGATGAGGATCGGTTTACAACTATTTTATATATTGACTCCATATAAGATTCGGCATATCGGAATACAACACTCTTACTTGTTTAATTTATTCCAAAAAAAAAAACCCAGCATATTGCCATAATCAGTTAGAAATTTTTACTTTATATCTTAATTTTTTTTCCTGGTGGTATTTTATTAAGCTGATTCCTTTATAAACAGTTGAAATCAGATTTTAGCTGTTCTGTCAACGAATTATTGTTTATAGTAGCTTTATGCTTATTAAATAAAACTATTTTACAAAATTTTTTACCACACAATGGCCAATTGATAATAATTTATTAAATAGTTTCTTTAAGTAATCATACGTCTTTTAGAATGTAGAAGTTTTTGTTGACTTTATATAATGTTTTTAGTTAATAAAGGATATTCCATTTATTCTTTTAAAATATGGGAACTGAAAAATATTATTCTTTTCAAGTATTTTAGTCTTCTAAAGTTAAAAACAGCATTCCATTATTTTTCCTGTTTTATTTTTAATGCTTTTAAAAATCTATAACATCATTTTATTTATTAGTTATACATATTTTTGGTCTCACACCACAGTAAACATCCGCTATTCTATATTTTTTCCCTGATTATATTTCTCAATAATATATTCAAAATTTTAAGCATATTTAAGACTTCCACAGTGTTCATGAAAGTCATACACATTCTCATATAAAATCTATTTCCTTTGTAAAACATGTTTCATTAAACGTGTCCGTAATCAAACCAAGTAAGTTAGTTGTTATTAAACGAGTATAAAAATTATAAAAATCTGTAACTGAAAAGATGCTGACCACTGTTTTTTTTTGTTATAGCTGCTACTTAGTCTTCTTTTACTAAATACGTGGTAAAAATAACATGAATACATGTTTTAGACAAGATTTGCTACTTCCGGAGATTGGTAGGTAGGTTATACATTCTGCTTCATATACATAGTCTGCTTTAAATTACATTATATTAGTTAATGGCAAAAAAATATGAAATTCTTGAAGATTTTCTGTGGTAATAATTATAAAATAGACAGTAGCCAGCCAGACAACAAGTTCAACATACATACATACATGGTATACATATTTGTATGATGTATTATCAGACATCTTTATTATTACACTCAATTAATGTTGTTTATCATCATTATTGTTATCAAGTTTTAGACAAGAACTTTTAAAAGAAGATCATACATTTCACATCACTGTAGTTTTAATGGCATAATTTTTTATATTTTTTAAGGTAGTAGGAAAGGGAATTAAGTCAAATTTTCAGAAGAAATCGAACCTAAAATTGAATATAATCCGAGATTTGAAATGTAATAGATTTTTGTGGGATGCACGGAAAAATTTTTAGATCAGTAATATAGGCTACTTAGAAAATAATATAAATATTGTGGATATTATTAATACAATTTGGATCAGGTCATACATCGATTTCAGACTTCTATATTGGATTCACAATTTTGAGTGCAGCTGTCAGTGTTATAAATAATAAGGGCAACTTTAAACCTGAGTAGTGGAAACTTTTTTTGTTCTATTCACTGCTTAACTTGCATGAAATGGAACAAAATTTGAATTAAATACTTAAACTCTCTTCCACCAATATTTTTTTTAATAAAGTTACATTATAAATTTAGATTAATAAGATCATCAAAGAGCGTACAAAAGCTACATAAATAAATGTTAAAGTGCGTATCGTTATTTAAAACCCATAGTAGATTAATTTGATTTGGTAAGAGAACATCGATATGATTAGCTTTTTTCAAACATTAATCGCTTCACGTGTGCACACAATTTGCCCCAAATAATATCTCTTAATTTTATATTTCATCTTCGTCCTATAATTTATAATAAGATCATTAGTTTCTTCTGTAGTTATATAAACAGTGGGAAACAATAAAATTGCATCCATATAAGACCCACCTCAGAAAATCATTTTAACACATATAACTGCGTGAATAATATAGTCTAGTCTAGTCTATAGTCTAGTCTATAGTCTAGTCTATAGTCTAGTCTAGTCTATAGTCTAGTCTAGTCTAGTCTAGTCTAGTCTATAGTCTATAGTCTAGTCTATAGTCTAGTCTAGTCTATAGTCTAGTCTATAGTCTAGTCTATAGTCTATAGTCTAGTCTATAGTCTAGTCTACTATAGTCTAGTCTAGTCTATAGTCTAGTCTAGTCTATAGTCTAGTCTAGTCTATAGTCTAGTCTAGTCTATAGTCTAGTCTAGTCTAGTCTAGTCTAGTCTATAGTCTAGTCTAGTCTAGTCTAGTCTAGTCTAGTCTAGTCTATAGTCTAGTCTATAGTCTAGTCTATAGTCTAGTCTATAGTCTAGTCTATAGTCTAGTCTATAGTCTAGTCTATAGTCTAGTCTATAGTCTAGTCTATAGTCTAGTCTATAGTCTAGTCTATAGTCTAGTCTATAGTCTAGTCTATAGTCTAGTCTATAGTCTAGTCTATAGTCTAGTCTATAGTCTAGTCTATAGTCTAGTCTATAGTCTAGTCTATAGTCTAGTCTATAGTCTAGTCTATAGTCTAGTCTAGTCTATAGTCTAGTCTATAGTCTAGTCTATAGTCTAGTCTATAGTCTAGTCTATAGTCTAGTCTATAGTCTAGTCTATAGTCTAGTCTATAGTCTAGTCTATAGTCTAGTCTATAGTCTAGTCATAGTCTAGTCTATAGTCTAGTCTATAGTCTAGTCTATAGTCTAGTCTATAGTCTAGTCTATAGTCTAGTCTATAGTCTAGTCTATAGTCTAGTCTATAGTCTAGTCTATAGTCTAGTCTATAGTCTAGTCTATAGTCTAGTCTATAGTCTAGTCTATAGTCTAGTCTATAGTCTAGTCTAGTCTAGTCTATAGTCTAGTCTATAGTCTAGTCTATAGTCTAGTCCTATAGTCTAGTCTATAGTCTTGTCTATAGTCTAGTCTATAGTCTAGTCTATAGTCTAGTCTATAGTCTAGTCTATAGTCTAGTCAATAGTCTAGTCTATAGTCTAGTCAATAGTCTAGTCTATAGTCTAGTCTATAGTCTAGTCTATAGTCTAGTCAATAGTCTAGTCTATAGTCTAGTCTATGGTCTAGTCTATGGTCTAGTCTATAGTCTAGTCTATAGTCTAGTCAATAGTCTAGTCTATAGTCTAGTCTATAGTCTAGTCTATAGTCTAGTCTAGTCTATAGTCTAGTCTATGGTCTAGTCTATGGTCTAGTCTATAGTCTAGTCTATAGTCTAGTCAATAGTCTAGTCTATAGTCTAGTCTATAGTCTAGTCAATAGTCTAGTCTATAGTCTAGTCTATAGTCTAGTCTATAGTCTAGTCTATAGTCTAGTCTATAGTTTAGTCTATAGTCTAGTCTATAGTCTAGTCTATAATTTAGCCTATTGTTGTAGTCTAGTCAATACTCTATAGTCTAGTCTATGGTCTAGTATATAGTCTAGCAGAAACTTATAACTTCCAAACCTAAAAAGTACTAAATTAGTACATACTATTTATTTCAATTTTTCATATCTGGTATACATTACATTTAAATCATAAAAATAAACTTCAATTTGTAACAAATAAAAAGCTGATATA